ACTTAACATCCGCTAGTTGCCCCTCAGTCAACCGCTTGTTTGCCCCCCACGAGTCAAATCCAAAAAAGCCACGTGATTGATAGTAAGCAATTTGACCCTTTTTTTTTCTTTTAGATTGTAATGAGATACTCAGCACAAAATCTTATAAATTTAACGTGTCCTCGACAACATCCAGATACCCTCCACAAAGCTACGGTCCAAATCAAGCAAGCCTCTATAACACGCATGCCTGGTGTGCAGCTGTTTCTAACGCTGACCAGTACCTTCAGATAGACTTGGGGCTCGTAATGATGATCAAGTCGATTGCAATTCAAGGAAACCCGGATGATGATGAGTTTGTAAAAAGCTTTAGTTTATCATATTCAGTAATCGAAGGCCATTGGTTAACTTACTTAGAGGAAGGAGTAAAGAGAATTGTGAGTTTCAATCTGGCAGGAACATCTTGAAAACTGAAAGTCTGATCGAGAGCGTAAATTTTGAAGGCGTATTTTAGTTTAAAAAAGCCAAATGATTTCATTATCGCTATCACTATCACTATCGCTATCACTATCACTATCACTATCACTAATACTAACGCTTACACTATCACTATCACTATAACGCAATATCATTATCATTAACATTATCATCATGAAAGTTGCATTCTTTCTCGCCCTCGAACCGTGAATTTAGGCAGCTTTTACAAGAAAATTATCCGGCTGTAAAACACAACTAATAGGAAAAAAAATTGCAAAAAGGGTGCTGCCAGGGAAGAACTGAATCCTCACATACTAGCAGTGTAATAACCTCCATATATTATTTCATGCCAGTTTGAAGGTAACTCGAACCGTGGAGAGGTTGCTACGCAGAAACTGAAGATAATTACCGCTGCCCGATATGTTCGCATCATCCCCGAGACATGGTACAATCACGTGTGCATTAGAGCTGAATTGTACGGATGTGATGCAGGTGAGACTTCCTTTTTTATGACCAATTTGGTCCTTATACGACCTCGTTGCCAGGGCCTTCTCTTCTCGCTTTTTTCCAAGCGCTGCCAAGGGAGAAGAAAAGGCCCTGGAAACGAGGTTGGATCCTTATAGAGCTTTTAATAAGTTGTGACGTATTTCCGATTCTAAATGTCTACCCTCTCAAAAAAAAAAAGCGAAAATATTCTCAATGATTTAACTTCCAAATGAAACAATTAAGACTTTGGACAAAAAATCCGGACATGAAAATAATCTAATAAATGTAAAAAGAAATCTTTAAAGCTCTATAACCTGATGCACAAATATACGTTAAGGAAAAACGATATCTTCCTCTGTAACGTTTAAGGGCAGGGCTCGAAATAGGAAACAATTTTGTCTGCCACTTTATTATCAATTTGGCAGTTCATCGTCATTTTTGCCTACCCAACCTGAAAATTTGACCAACCATTTGGCCACTGGAATGCTGCTATTTCGAGCCCGACAAGCTAGGGTTTGAACCGATTCCAAGGATTTTTATGAGTATTCAGAATATGCCAAATTCCGATTTTAAGGCGCATTACAAGAGTTTCAATCAGTGATATTTTGCCACATTTTTCAGTGTTAATCATGATCAGTTCTTGTACCAAGGGCCCATCAAAGTTTCATTTATAAAGTGACATCTGCAATTTTTTTAAAAGTGGCAGTCAAGGTCTTCTATCAGAATATACGTTTTTCAAGGGTTTARTCAAGTGCCCATGAAAATAGATTTCAATTGCAGCACTTTTTAGGGAGTTTAAAGGACTAGCGTAGTACGAACCCTGAGTTTAAGTACAGGCACACCACTAAGCATTAGCAACCTTCTATTGATCACTCTTATGATAAAACAGGGCGGTTTGAGTGATGTATTACGGATTATCTTACCTTATTTCCAGATCCTCTTCTCCCGCTTGGAATGATGAGTGGTGACATCCCAAATAATGCCATAACAGCTTCATCAAGTGCTGGCCATCACCCAACCGGGTATGGTCGCTTACAATGGACCAAATATGCGGGATACCAGGCTTGGGCGTCTACTGTGCCCCCCGGCCCCAATCAATGGCTCCAGATTGACTTAGGTCAAATGAAGTTTGTGACCGCCATCGCTACACAAGGAAGACACATGTCGCACAACCAGTGGGTAACTAGTTATTCGTTTTCGTACAGCAACGATAACACTCTGTGGACTGAATATAAAGAAAACGGAGTTAAAAAGGTATGATGCTGATAATTGTGTACTAGGTAGTATAGTTTAAGATTTTTCAAATCTTAAGACAAAAAGGAAATACAGTGTTCCAGGTTCTATTATCACCGTTGTTGATAAGATAATAATGATAATGATTTATGATTTATATAGTGCCCTTTCTATATGGATATAATCAAAAGCGCTTTACAATGAGTTGTGACTTAATTTCATATCGCTTTTTATGCAATTTACAATCATGAGAGGTGGTTAGTATAAGGTGTAGACACAAGGGTGGTCACTGCAAGGTTTTCTTTTCTAGTCCGCAGTATACCTTGACGTCCCTTCGATTTTAGTTTAGGGGAAGCACGGGTGGCGTAGCGGTGTGAGCGCTCGCCTCTCATCAATGCGACCCGAGTGAGTCCCGCCGGGTTCGGTGTTGTATATGAGTAGAGTTGTTTGTTGGTTCTCTCCTGTGCTTCGAGGGTTTTCCGGGTTCTCTGGTTTTCCTCCCTCCGCAAAAATCATCTCCTAAATTCCAATTCGATCATGGAATGAGGGCCACAGGTTTCATCATTGATATTCTATCCGTCGACATCGTGATTTTAGGAGCCCGGGTGGGGGGAGTTTCATTGTCTTGTCATTTTCTCGTCCTAGGTGTTCGCTGGAAACATAGATAAAGAAACTGTAGTGCGTCATGTGTTGTCATCTATAATCTACGCACGCTTTGTTAGATTTGATACTATCACATGGAATAACCACATCTCAATGAGGGTCGAGGTATACTCATTCCGGCGAGGTGAGTATAGGCACCCAAGAGATAAACTATCCGGCTTGTGGATGGAAATGATAACTGCACTGTTGGTGAACGGGGTCTTGAATATCTCACGTTTTACGTCATCCTTCATATATCTTATATTTTACTTAAGTCAATGTTTATACAGGAACATCCAGTTTAGCAAGGCCTAGCCTTAACTGATGGAATCAGGGCACGACTAATTCACACACCAAATTGAGATTTAGCGTGTCATGTTTTCAGGCGTAGGGAGTAAACCCCTTGAATTAAGGGAGAGACCTAACATACTCTACTTAGATCTGATGCCGAGGCTTGGAATCGAACCCTAGGACCCCAGAGGCGAGCACTGCACTGATACAGTCTTTGGCTTTCCGGGTTTACTTGCTGTCATATTATAGCCATAATAATTTTTTTAGTTCATAATGTGAAGGCACAAAACACTTTCCAGCCTCCTTAATCTAAGCAAGTCATTTCATTTTAGCCCCGCTCCAAAACTTTGTAAGCCCTTTTGCATTTCTCATCCCGTTATAAACAGCATTAGTATAGGCTAAATTGAAAACCAGCATTAATACTTAGTTTGTTCGCCAACTCTAAATAGGATTATTACTATATATGCTCTCCCCTACCCACCCCAACAAAATAATTGGTGGCTTATCACACCTATTTTGGCTCAGATTCACCTGCTGCCCTTGGAATGGAAAGCGAAGAAATACCAAACAACCAAATAACGGCATCGACCCAATACAACGCCGCTGTGCCGCCACGTGCAGGAAGACTAAACTATCAACTTCTGGGAACATGCTGGTCACCTAGAGTCCTTGGTGCCGGCCAGTGGCTTAAAGTCGGCTTTGGTCACACAATGCTTGTCACGGGTATTGTCACGACAGGAAGAGGAAATGGCATCGAAAGATGGGTGACTTCATACCAGGTACACTTATCATATTGCAAAAAAACCTTTACAAACCTTTTTTTAATTATTTTTATAAATTATAATTTACTTTGTTATAAAATGTATAGTACTCCTACCAATAATAATAATATTAATTATTGTATTAATAGGAATTTCAATATTAACATTTGAGTTTTTTCTAAAAATAAAATTTTTAATATCAAATTTTTTAATATTTTCCATATTCCGAAATTTTTTTATTTTCTTAATTTTTTTAATTTCCCAATTTTTAAATATTGAACTATGCAGAACACTCAGTGTTTTAATTCTCTTGGTTACAGATATCTTACAGTCTTGATGACACAAGTTGGACATTCTACAAGGATACTGGATCATCTGTTGTCAAGGTAACCAAATTATGAAAATTATGTGAAGAAGATCAAGTGACAGTTTCGCATTAAAAAAGCTAAAATTTGGAAGTAGCAATAGTAGCAACACAGTTTAATGCATGATGGATATGTTTGACTAGAAAATGTTATTTCTCTCTCATGATTGGCTCATATCATATGATGAGCAAAATAGTGCAATTATTGCTCAAATTAATTTTAACCAATCAGATTGTAGAATTAAGCAATGATTTACAAAATGGATATAACTAAAATCCTCTAATCGATTTACACAATTTTAATAGACTTTCCAGGCAAATACAGATGATATTGGGTATGTGACAAGGATATTTGACAGAGATATCACAGCTCGATATATCAGAATACATCCCGAGACATATATTCCAGCAAATGAGCTGCTAGGTATGAGGGCAGAAGTATTGGGACGTCGAAAAGGTACCAGAAAATTATAAAAATATATTTATTTACATTTTATCTATTAGCTAGGAAAGTGAAGTATAAAATATTTTATTATTTTTCACCAGCTGAAAGGAGCTCAGGGGAAAAGGGGGAAATTATATCAATATGAAACAAAATTGATTGCCTTCAAAAATTTAGCAATAATCAATTAACAATTAATCTTAATGTTTTGAGGGTTGCGGCATTTTTGTGTTTCTGTGTATATATGTATATATTATACTTAATTTTCTCCTTTCTTATATTTATACAGTACTTTTAGGTTCTTAATCGCAGATTTTAGTATAGATTTTATTAAGATTTTCATAGATTTTATATTGCTGATCACCAGTTCATACCAGCTGTTCTATCGTGTCCAGCTGATCGTTTTTTTTTTTAAATCATGGTAAAGAAAGATATTATCATTATTAATATTATTATTATTATTATCAATTTTAACTAATTATTAATCAATGAAATTATTCAAATACTTAATCTATAATATATATTTTTTAGTTAAAGTTTTGACATGTCTGTATGTTTTCTTATTTTCTTATTATTTATTTTATTATTATTATTAATTTTATTATTAGGACCTCTTGGTAGCCCTGTATTCAAAAATCAGGTTACCAGTCCTCATGTTTTTGCGCTCAAAAACCAAGATGTTACACTACAGTGTGAAGCAGTTGGTTCTCTGCTTATTACTATCACATGGTCCTTCAAAGGAAGCATAATTCAAACAAGAACCACAAACACTAACCTTAATCTCCAAGCAGTGACACCAAGTCAAGAAGGATTCTATACTTAAACTGCCACAAATGCTTTAGGATCAAGTAACAAAACAGTGCATCTGAAATTGAGAAGTAGGTATTAAAGATTTCACTCTAACAACTGTTACAGTAACAGTAATTAAATCATAATAATTAGAAGGATAAGAATATAAAAAAAATATTTGATTTTTTGATTTGTGTACATGGAAATTTTATACTGTATGGCTGCATTGCCCATATTTTCTTATTTAAATTGATGTTCAAATTTTATGATAATAATAGTATTGATAATGATATTAATTTATTTTCCAGAGGGTTAACAATGACAATTTTTTATTTGGCACCTTTACATGACAAAACAGATTATACAATAAAAAATATAATTCCTTATGTAAAGCTGCGAGCTAATAGGATTAACCAATACAGTCTATACTAAGCTAGTTTAGATAACACAAAATCTATATATGTTGGGTTTGTGGGTTTGAATCTAATCTGATGATCTGGGGCTCACATTTTTTCAGAACTCCTTATGGGGTTTTCATCAATAATTGATGATTATTAACACCTCCATAAGAGGATAGGACAATATTGATCACATTCCTTTGTCATCAATATTCCCCTTCACAGTTCCCTGCACCATCTTGAAAGGTAGCCATGCCTTTGTATTGAAGCAAGACGAACAGTGATGAGCTTGCAATGATAGAGACCATTTTTAACACCTAAGCAGGCAATTATTCACATGTCTCTAGTTTCTGTTTGTATCACTTTGATGCAAAGGCACTGCTACCTTTCAAGACGACACAGGGAACTGTGAAGAAGGGGACTATGTTAGTTTCTAATTTATTTTATTCTGGTTCTAGCAATAATACTGTAATAATAAAAGAAAAATGTAGCACAGCTTAACATCATAATAATTATATCCTGTATTTTGTAATCCACAGATACCTTGGAAATTTGTACAAAGTATAAAACTCTGTTTGATGACTCCCGCCTTACATCCAAGATTACATCCAATCCTTCCAGCGATAACCTCAACATCTCTGAGACTGACTGGTATCTGTTTTATGGCAGCAACAGTAACCATCGTATTCCCAATAGATGTATTGCACAAAACCACTGTGGTGCTACTGCTCCAGGCTATATGGAAGGAGAGTTACCAGCTGTGAGTGATGGGGTTGTCAAGAGAAAAGTCTGTTTCCATAGCAATGGCAACTGTTGCCACTTCAGTGTCTATATTTATGTGCGCAACTGCTATATGTTTTACATATACCAGCTTAAGAAACTCGACCTGTCTTGGAACGCCAGATACTGTGTGGAGAGAAATTCCAATGGTAAGAAAATGTATTTACAGATTCATATTTAGTACATAATTCATATAATTTATAGTTCCTTTTTTTGCCTCTAGAAAATCCAAAACGAATGTTTCAAGCAAGTCCCAAACACCTTGTACTGCATCACCACATCAGCCAACAGCTCTTCTCAGTAACTGATGATCTGTCTTGTATGGGGTCTTGTTTAATAGATCCCAATTGCCAGTCGTTCAACTTCAATGCTAAACTTACTGCATGTGAACTGAACAACGCAACATCAGAGGAATTCCCACAACACATGAAATATAAATCCGGGTTTTTTTACTTTTTTGAAATAAAGATTTAAATTCTTAAGAAACCTCGTCTCAAAGAAATCTCGTTTTGGGGTTTATTGCCTTTGCCAGACCTTCTAGAAGCACGAAAGCATGGTAGACTATATTAAAATAAGACTTCAAATTTGACTTCACTCAGTTGATAAACCATTGCAATTTTATGCACTCGTACGGGTCTCAGGTTTAATAGCAAAAATAATTTTTTGCTCGCTATTGTTTTGAATTTCGTTAAATTCCAATTGACTGATGGCACTCATGTAATGGTACGATTTTTCAAATAAAAGAAAAACAAAAAATTCGGCTTACCTTCACTATGACATTTGCAGTTTGCCGTCATTTTCTGTATTTAACGTGTGTCTGCTGGACAATATATCGCGGTCTCACGTCGCATTATATTTGTCAAAAATCAAAAATGCCCTAACTTGATTTATAAGCCTTTTCATAGTTTAAGAATCGATTCCACTGTGCATGCGATTTTATCCCGAATTTCTCACCTTCTTTTGTTTAATTAAGAACAAAAGAAGGTTTAGACAAAAGAAGGCATCTCTTTACGCGTGTAAATGAACACAAAACGCCTACGAAGCTCTGCTCTCAATTCACTGATCCAAACGCGTGTAAATGGCGTCAACGTGATTGATTGACGGTAGTCTATTGCAAACTACACGACTCGATTTGTGTCTGGGGTGGCCGTGTAGTAATGAAAAAACGGCGGTAAGCTCTTATTGGGGGGGGGAGTGCACGTGCATCATGTGCTCCCCCCTGGTTACGGCCCTGCTTGAGTAAATAATTAAAACTTTAACACAACGAAAACTAATGGTTACCATTATTCAAGGTAGTACTGTACAGATTACAGTGGTTAGGGTTTGACAAAATTTAATTATCCTTAGTGCCCTTATTCCATAGATTGCTAACAGAAGACTGAAGCGAAATGGCGAAACTTGGCGGAGTGATATAAGTTGTGACAGTTATGTCGCCGTAATGGCAATGTTATTGTGAACAGATATTTATGCAGCACACAACTCCCGTATTATTGAATTTAAAACTGCTGCCTGTTATTTTTCTTTATTTATAAATCATTTGTTTCATAGATAAAGTCAGTTTCCATTTCCAACAAGCAACAAAGATAATCATGATTGTTTTGGAGTAAGAATCTTTCCAAGTCATTCCATATAGTTCGAATCTGTTTCTTGCTTACCTCAACGATAAAATAAGAACATTTAGTCAACAACATCGTTTCGCCGTTAAATGACTCGTTCATAAAATTAATTTTCATTAATTTATGGGCTGAGGCAAGAGACCATGGTCTCTTGGCTTTGCAAACAAAGAAATCACTATAGCGTTAAGGAGCTATGTAGTTGCGAAATGTGATCTTAGTTAGCCGCTCATAAAACTTCAGCAACTTATGCTTTGAATTCACCAAGAATCATTATAGTTTGAGAAATATAAAGTGACGTTTTAGGTTTAAACTTGTGTTGGTTTAAGATTAATCAAAGCGTTGCTTAGCCGTGCAAGAAGGAAAACGTCAAGGTTAAGTTCATGGAAAAATACTTTTAAGCATAAACAAAAACTCGTTTTTGCGCTGGTTTTGGTGTTTGACAATCAGGAAGTACAGGATCTATTGAGAGATATGCAAAGTATTTAGTTTAAATTGAGTCTCCTCCGCAGGCATCAGCGTGTCCTTCATAGGATAGGAAAAATTCTAGAGATCCAGCTTGCTTTATTATTGATATTCCATCCTATACAATATGGCAATTTTGGACAATCATTGAATTTTTTAACTTTTTTTTTTGAAGGCCTTTTAAGGTTTATTATTGGTAAACTCAGCTATGAAATACCAATATTGGTTCAGTTGTATATTGGTATATTGGTATATTGGTAAATCATGAAGCATGAAGAGGCATCTCTTATTGGATATTTATTGGCTCACAATTGGTGAATCTCCAAGCACGATCAGGCATCATTTGGGTACTTAGTCACTTAGTTTGAAACGAGTTCCACTAAGATTGTTTTTCAACGAGCGAAAAATAACTTTGATTAAAATCAGTCGGCCGAAAAGGTATTTTACTGAACTGAACAACAATGGGCAAACCTGACTAAGCTGTTTCCAAGCCTGATTTCTCTGTACACGTGTTGTTGTTTGGATTTGATTTGTCTTTGAAATGATTCTGACCTTTGAGTACAAATACGAACAGACTGATCATTTAGACCTTCCGGAGAGTTCCGTTCACTTTTGGTCCAAGATAATAAGCACACGTCCGGCAGGAAGTAGGGAGGTTTCATGAAAGAAACCTGTCTGACAAAAAAGAGACCCTTTGCACATCACGTAATCGTGGCAGCCATGACAGGAGACAGGAACAATTGAATCTGCTGTAGTCTAATTATTTATCATTCTGATTATTTTCTCTTATTGTCAGTTGCTGACGCAGCGAGTGGGGGCCGAAGCGAGCGAGCAAGGAAATCTTATTCGTGTAAGATCGTTAAAGTTTGCCTTTGACAAAACGAACCACAATCCATGCCTTTGGCATAACAAACACAATGCAGTAAAATACGCAATAATATATATATATATATGAGATCTATACTAATATATAAATAATAGATATATACAATGTTATTGAAACGAGAGCAAAGTCGAGTGGTGTATTAAGTAAATTTATCATCACAAAAAAAGTTTGCGTCGTGGCTTTGAACATCTTTCAGAAGCATGAGATTGCATAGACTAATGTTACAAGAAATGTTTTCTCATAAGCGATATTTGAACAAAGAAACTGAAATTGAATACTCATCTGTTCTATTCTTGGTTATGACAGTAAATTCTGTAGAGCAGAAATTAATCCAATGCATAATCCGTCTCGTACCCAGAGACGACAATGTTCTATCAATCAGGGACAGGTTCGAGCATGCGCAGTGCTGGAGATAGCCACACCTCAGCTCTGAGTGGATCACGGTATTACGTTTAGCAGCATGAGATCACGGTGACAAGTCTGTCAAGTATTTGCCGCTAACAGTGACGTACAAGCTTCTAGGTCAAGGAAAACTAGTATAGAACTCCATAAAAACACATTTAATGTCTCTATAATGTGTCAGAACAGAATATAGATCTTGGAACTCTTAGGTTTGGTAACTCTATACCCAATATATCGTGACAGTTTTTAGGTATCTGCAGTGAAACGGCCAAAAGGTCAAATGCAGAATAACGAGGACGATGAAATTTTAAAGACATGACGGAAACTGAAAAATCCAGATGGGTAAAAATGTGGGTTTTTCATGTCCATTAGTAGAGTATATGTATAAAATATATATATATTATAATAGTACTAGGGTTATTGATAGCAGTAACAGATTTTTTTCTTATTGAGAGATAGATATGATACCACAGCGTGCATTGATCCCCTTTATTCCTGATAAACCTGACAAGTACCTTTATCCAAGAGAAGCAGGACTTGTTGTAAAAATAACCCGTCGTACTGGTTTATGGGAGTTTAGGTCAGTTACGGCGTTTTACAAAATTTTGCTTTACTTGCTATTTGCCCTCCGAGTTAAGCAGTTCTGTCGAATCCAGGCGGCAGAAAAAGATCCGTTTGGAACTGAGTTTGTCAAAACTTACTTTGGAAAAACTTTGTATAGGAACTCAAATTTCATTGGGTATGTTATGTAATACATATACTTCTAGTATCTCGTATATATAAACTCATACCATAGTCAGTCGAGTTTAGTTTAGTTTATATCGTATACAACACGGACGCGAATATTTTATAGTGCTTATGGAACGTCTAGGCTAGAACTTTTGTGTTTTAATAAACATTTTAAAGATAAGATTGATTCTAGCAGAGATCCATGTACAGGTATTTGATATGATTTAAATTTTATATCAGAATTAGGAACGGCTCTGGCTTCATTGAGTCATGATTTCTATTGAGTCCATTATTAATGAATTTCGGATAAGGGTATTTAGAAGTAACTTGGATTTTGTTTTATGCTGGTCGATTGAATAAGATCGTCAAAGTAAATCATGTGATATTTTCTTATTTTTCTTCTTCTTCGTCGTCTTCTTTTTTTTTTTTTTTTTTTTTTTTTTTTTTTTTTTTTTTTTTTTTTTTTNTTTCTTCCTTTCGCTCTCTCTCTCTCTGGCTGCGTTTATAAAATTTGATTTTTTTTCCTAGGTTGCCTTACCCAGGCTAGTCTGTGCTAGATCATATAATGGCTCGCAGTAAAACGAAAGAGCGTCTTCCTCTTCACCAAATCATCTTCTTCAGTGTTGGCCATGTCATGAACGATTTAATACACGCTATTTATTCGTCATATCTTCTAACTTTCCAAACTAAAATTCTTGAGTTGCCGAGTAACATCATTGGATATTTGTGGTTCATCCCTTGTGCGATTGATGCTCCTTTTGGTCTCCTGATAGGCTACCTCTCAGATAACTACAGTATACCAATCCTTTCAAAGCTTTATGGCAGAAGAAAATCCTGGCATTTACTCGGGTGTAGTCTAGTAGGGGTTTTCACCCCTTTTATCTTAATTCCTTGTTTCATCTGCGGAGAACAAAAAGATGACTGGATCATCGTGGCCTATTACGTCGTTCTCTTGGTCGGTGCCAATGCTGGATGGGGAATAACACAAGCCAACTTTCTTGCACTTATACCGGAGATTGCCAAAAGACAAAGTGAAATGGTCAAATTGGGAGCTATAAGGTAAACATTTTGAGGTAGACAATCCTAATAAAACCTCGACAATTAGTAATCTCTTTCTAGGGGTGTTTCGGTATTCAGTTTGTCTCCAATATTTTGCTTCAGGTCGGTGTTCTTGATAAAAAATGCTAGCTCATGCGTTTAGTCTTAGAAGCAAAATTTTTCTTGTAAACAAAAATCATCCATGTTTCTTCTTAAAAATCTGAAGTGTATCTTTCAGTGGCTCGCAACAATAGCCAGAAATACTAATAGAAATGTCAGTAATTAAAGCTATGTCTATCAAATAAAACGAAGGGCTAATTCGCGGGGGGAAAATGTAAGCAAGTTAAACTGGGCCAATTCATAAGCTGAACACCAGATGTCAATCGAATGGGGTATTCCGGAGTATTTTAGGCGATATTTAGTCTAGTTGATTTGATGAGGTCACAATTTGATAAACAAGTATGAGCTCCGCATGAAGACTGAAAAACAATAAGAATTCTCCGCAGTTTTGTTGTTGTTGGCTGATTCTCCAAGTAAGGTCGCCCCATTGTTAACCTGTTCTTAACTTGTCATTCGTCGCTGCTGATGACAGCTATCCAATCAAATCCAAGCTTACTTACATGTTTTGAACTTTGAAACTGTTGCCGCTGAGCACTTGGCAGGCTTGTGGAGGCGAAGAGCACGGCAAACTGGTTTTATGATTAAAATTAGGCGTTGAAATGTCGGGAACACAGCTGTTTTTATTGAAAATGCTGGCAATACTCTCCTGTTTACAAGAAAAATACTAAAAAAAATTCTCCGCTGACACCAATGCAAATCGATATTCTCATATAGTGATTTATTTTTCTCGATATCAACTCACACATTGCGTATTAAAATGATTCTTATACAGTGAATTATGAATATCGTATGACAATTTTCATTTCTCGACTATACAAGTTCCAATGACGGTTGGTAATAACCTAGATATAATATAAATATATATTCCATCTCGAAAACCCTCTGACTATGACATTTGGTCACACCTCAGTGTCGCGTCACACCATGCCTAAATCTCCCCTAATTTCGTTAGGTATTTACAGTGAGATATTTGATTTCCTGTAGTCCGGTTTAACTTGGAATTAAATCGGATATGACGTAAATAGTTTTTTTATTCTAAATACTACTGAACAAACCGGTTGGACTTCTTGTAAAATAGTCGGAAAGCAAGATAATGAAACTAGTTTCTCCGTGGTTAATATTYCCTGTCGTGTGTATCATGAGACTGCCAAACTCTCACTAGGTATCTTAAGTATTTCCCGTCTAAACCGGCCAAGTTTAGCCTGCTCCGCAGTAGTCTCCCTCGCATCCCGTGGGGGGGGGCGGGGGGTACTCCGCCAGAATTTGGGTAGGGGTGTTCCGCTGGGATTCTGAAAGGGGTACCCTGTTTATGACAAAAAAACTCAAATTTGTAGACCCTGTTTATGACAAAAGATATAATTTATTGCGCTGAGTTCCTGTTTCAATTATAATGTCATCTCGCGTATCGTTTTTTGACGACCATAATAACCAGTTTCGGGCAATACGAAAGTAGAAACCCTGAATATGACAGGAAACTCGGGAAGAACTAGGAACTTGAGGGAAATTGCATACCCTGTTTATGACAAGAAGCTCGAAAAACCATACCCTGTTCAGCGGATCATCCCCATATAGTCCATATATGGGAGTACTCCCCCCGGGCCTCGTATCCGTTTTTAGTGTCGGTCGTCGTTGCGTGACGACCGACACTAAAAACAGATGCGAGGGAGACTAGCTCCGCAGGTTACTGCATGTCAGTTCTTCTATTCTCTGTTGGGATCCCTGCGTTAAATTTTATGGCAGAGAAGAACTAGAGAGAGGAGGAGAAGTGGGGACGAGGAGCAAAAAGAGCCAAGTAGATGCCTGCGGAGGAGGCTAGGCCAAGTTCACCATTTAATGTTTTCCCGCCAATTTTCGAGTACTCTCTGCACCTTTTGTTCTTGAGCCCTGTTTCTTGAGAAGTGCGAGATGCGGTATTTTCAAACCGTGCAACAAATTCCCTATATACACATTGAGACCAGAGAAACTTCGTTCTACTTTGCGCGTAAAAGCCGAAAACGTTGATTGCCAATCGATCGTGTCTTTGGTCCCTTAATCGCCGCCATCTTGGAATTCAAAACGGTTCAGAACTTTTTTTTTTTTTTGACATGGCGGCCGTGTCTTTTTCTGCGCTACATATCTTTTTTGGAATGCTTGTTCTTGAGCAATTTAGACCACATAGCCTAGCTCTGAAGTATGTTTACAGCACTGAGAAACCGTTGAACCACGGTGCGAGACTCGCATTTGTTAGATAATATGTAGAAAAATGATTGTCATACATTAAAATCATTATTATTTAACAATTCTTTGCCGAAGGCGAAATGATTAAAGTCTAAAATTATACTAACATCAATTATTAATCCATTATTATTATCATAATGTTTATGTTTACAGCTCAGCCATAACTTTGATCGGTGGTATTTATGTATATGTGGTCACGTGGGTGTTGCTAGGTGCCAACAGCGGTGACACGTTGTCGTTCAAGCAGTGGAAAGAATTCATGGTAAGAAAGACATTCTCTAATATAATAAGCTCAAATTTACTTACTATGTTATATATACGTTTGCAACATTCATGGTTGAATTTATGGTCGGCGAAAGGCGCCCCACAGGAATTAGTACTTACTAGTGTATGACACTAATTAGTCGAAATAATATCAACGATGTCTCGACTGAGTCTAGATATCGGAAAACAAATATGCAAGCAAACAAATAGAAGACCATCAGCGTTTGCTCAAAATAACGACTGGGTACCCTCGTTTTCGGCAAACAAGTCACCGCGTACTCCGCTCGCTGTCATCCATTATGCATAACACTGCACAATTTGAAATGGGCATATAAAAATGAAGCAAATTTCATGAGACATGATTCAAAGAGTTTTATTGCGCATGGCTTTTAATGCGATTGTACAATTAGGACACGCTGTATTAGTTAAGCATAGTTTATCTTTAACCCTAAAACCACTGTCACACGCATATTCTTTGGTATATGATGGAGCTTGCTATTTTGTTCTAAGTCGCTATTATTTAAGTGTAAAGCAGATTTAAAGCTTACATTCACTTTTACACAATCATAGTGTTCGTCCAAGCCATTCGACGGTCATTTCTGTTGCGGTAGATTCAGCCTAACAGCTTGGCTCAGTGTCGTCTACTCCTTTCAGAGCTTTCTTAAATTCATCGCAAGCTATCCTCTTATCTGAGTCGGTGTCGATCAGTTCAAACATCTCGTTGGCCTTTTCTTGGTCCCATTCAATAGCACGGGCAAACTCCTCCAGGCTGATCCCCCCATCTTTATCGCTATCGTAGAAGGTGAACGTCGAAGGTAGCTGTAAAATAACCTTGTCTTCTGGGATAGACCTCTTCTTTACACTTCTGCAAGGGTTTGTACACTTTCTAAAACATTTTGTGCTAACTGGACAGTGACTTGGATTGGAAGGGCGGCACACTCGAATCCGGTAGCACACCATTCTGCAAGTAGTTCGGCAATTTGAACCACTACCGCCTCCACCTCCACCACCTCCACCTCTTCTTCCTCCGCCTCCGCATGCTGAGACAACAGCAATAAGAAGCATAAAAACCATGACCGACTTGAGAAGCATCTTGTAGGCAGTTTTAGTTGCAGTACTGAATGTGTTCGAGGTCGTTCTGTAGGCACTCAACGAAGGGATGAAATATGTAGTCAGCGTGGGGACCATTTTATAGGTTTTTTGTTTCAGCACCACCGACAAACTAAACGCCACATATCGCAAATTCTTGTCTTAACGATGTCAATAGATGTTGCATGTGTTCCTGCAGACTTTTTTCCAGGTATATTCTTTGCTAATCTGTATGATATTCGTTCATTCTATGATGTCCAAACACTTGCTATGCTGGTCGGACCAAAACTGTTCATATGCAATAACAAATGGATAAAACAAAAGAAAGTAAACTAGAATATCCATGCGATGTATTTGAAATATTAGGAACAATTAAAGGTCATTTTGCGGAGAGTAAGTACCTAAGCTTGGAAGGATGTTTACAAAATAGTTGTCGCTAGTGCTGAAACTTGCTGAAACGAAAATAAAATTTACAATAATTGCCAAAAAAGTGCAATGATATCGAGATGTTTCTGCTTATACTTTAAATACCTGAATACAGGTCAACACTGAGTTTCTATGAATGGCAGATAGAAGAAAAAGACTTATAAACGTAGTAATGCATGACCGTTTCATCTTCACAAAATCCGGCAAATATTCATACACATAATTTCAAATGCAATTATCTTTCCTATTCCGAACCGTATGACAATAGAGAAGGCCACCTTTTTTTTCTGGAGTAGCCAAGAAGGGGGGAATGCTCCCTGCCTGGAAAATATGAAATTGAGAGAGCCGACAAGGTCGCAGCTCTCTAAGAAGATCTACCCCAGTTGGGTGAATACAATAGAAATAAAACAATATATATATATTTTTTTAAAACGATAAAAGGACTCGACAATGAAGACTTTTGTTTGTTTTGGCCTCGACAGCTCTTCTTAACTGGTGCGATATAATTGGGAGTCGCAGGAAGGTGGTTTGGCTATAATCAGTCATAAGGGGAATTTGCCACATTCAGGGGGTCGTCGAAATATTCCTAGTTAAACCACTCTAATCATGTTACGAATTCAATGAATCTGGAGATCGACATCTCATAAGGCGGGCAGACAACTCGCTTTAAAAAATGGCCAGCATGCAACTACTCGTTGTATTAGACTATTTCATGAGGAAGCCGTAAGACAAAAGTAAACGTAATTAGATCATATAAAGCGTTTTATTGTGAAAAAGTTGAAGTTTAATGTAACTGGTTGCACAAATATATTACGAGACAATAGTAAGTCTATAATTTAATTTATTTTTATGTTTCAAAGAATAGTAACTAAGGAGCTAGATTGCATCTTTTAATTGAAGTACCCTATTATTTCAAATTCCTCCAAAGTTGTTTTTTAAAGTATTTGTCTGATTCAATCTAAAACTATCTATTATCAGTGTTTTCACGATCATATAATGTTCCTATGTCTGTCATGGTCAGTCGTGGTCATTAATCGATGGTCATTCTTTTTGCTCTGGATTTTCTAACAGCGTGGCTCAATTTCTGTTGATCCCTTCAGAGCTTTTTTAAACTCATCGCAAGTTATTCTCTGATCTGAATTGGTGTCGAATGAGTCGAACATCTTTTTGATTTCCTCTTCTTTGGCCTTCAAAGCATCTGCAAACTCCTCTAGGCTGATCCCCCCATCTTGGTTGTTGTCATACTCGTTGAAATTCGAAGGCAGTAGAAACATTTCATCAGGAACTGATCTTTTCTTCATATTAGGTATGCAAGGGTTTCTGCACTTTACTCCACACCCTCGAAAGTCACACTCGTGGGTGCATCGGGTCTTGCAATCAGGAATAATTCGTCGGCGTCGTCCCCCACCGCATGCCGAAGCAACGGCAATAATAACCATTAAAAAAATGACCGACTTGAGAACCATTTTCTAGGCAGTTTTATAGTTGCAGTACTAAATGTCCTTTTACCGTGGTAGTACTGAAGGCAATCAACGACGTGGTGAAATAACTAGTCACAGGGGACCATTTTATAGGGTTTTCGGGTTCAGCAATTCCGACAAATATCAAATAACACGAATTCTTGATACATGTCAAAGCAACCGATCTTGGTCCTGTGTCCTCTTTTCCAGGAATTGTCTTTGCGAATCACATAAGCCGCCAAACCAAGTGCCATATAAATTTTGTTCATTTTATAGTGTTCTTTTGTACTCTCATAGACTAAAACTGGTAGGACATTCTCCAATCTGTTCGTAAGCGATCAAATAGGCCAAACAGAAGAAAGTACTCTATGGGATGTAAATATGATATTAGGGATATCAGTTAAGAACAAGGTCAAGGAGCAAGTACCTTGGAAAATGATGTTTATAGTATATTTGTCGCTACTGCTGAAATAATAATCCGACTATATTGCCAACAAATCGTTAAATGATATCGAGATGAGAGATTTTTCTGCTTCTAGTTGAGCTACCCTGAATAAGAGTCTATATTTTTCTAGGTTGTAGACGTTAATGCATAATAAATGCCCTGATCCATATGAAGAAACCTTGCGAATTCCACAAATTCATATTTCACAATTCACAACATCCACCCTTCACAAAATCTCGCAAATTTCATCACAAAAAAGTTAAAAACGGCCGGTCAAAAGGTTTCCTTGTGCCGCTCAACATGCAAGATTTTATAGTTAACAATTATGTTATTTTGACTTAAATTGTTTTCTTTTTTTTTTCGTCAGAATCTAGTTATAATTGTGGTGGGTACAGGAGCTTTCTTCGCCATTATTTTTCACGTCGGTACACGTGAACCAAATGCTAAGAAAGGTGAGCAAAAAGCGAATTATGACAGAATGGAGGGTTTGGAAAGGTGAATCGCCGAACAGGCAGAAGAGAGAGCGTGACCTCCAAGTGCAAACTATGAAAAAATTTCAAACACGCGGAAACAAATAGAGCTTTCTCGACTGAATTTCCTTGGGAGACCACGTGACAATGACTCGAAGTCCCGCGAAGTTTCGAGTCGATGTATTCATGCATTTATTGTATTCAAGTCCGACATCATCTATTGTTTCGTGGTGACTCACCAGCAACTGAACATGAACTTCAGGTTCATTCTCTTAAATCTGGGTTTTTTTCAATGATTATTATTTGAGTGGAGTTGAGTGGATAAATCTATTTAGTAGGAAAAGCTATGGCTTTTTTTTTTTTTTTTTTTTTT